GTGGGGTGGGGAGTGTGTGGTGGGTGGGTGGGTTGGTCAAAGATGAACTCTATTCCCTTCAACTAATGTGTGTGTGTGTGTGTGTGTGTGTGTGTGTGCACATATGTAAATGTTTGTTTGCATTTGTATGTGTGTAAATGTGTGTGTGTGCTTGCTTTTTGTGTTTATTGGTGTGTGTGTGAACAAGTGTATAATTGGAGTGTGTTATTAAGAATGTGAGTGTGTCTGTGTGTGTGCGTGTGCGTGTGTGCGCAAGCACACGTATGTGACTAAGTGCGTGTGGGTGCGTGTGCATGTGCGTGTACGCGCTTTTTTTTAAGTGTGAGTGTACATGTGTGCTTGTGTGTGTTTATGTGTGTTATCAATGTGGTAATTTATCACTACTGCCACACGCTACATAATCCATCGACTATCATCGAGCCTGTGTTGTGAGCCATCCTAGCTCCGGTGGCACAATCGGTTAGCGCGCCGTACTTATAAACAGTACTCCGCCCTGATAACAGGGTTGAGGCATGCGGAGGTTGTGAGTTCGATCCTCACCCGGAGCAGCGTGAATTTTTATTAAATACATCATCAAATACGCTGGTGCATCACACCTGTGTCATTTAAAATAGGCGAACGACATGCATTGTATTTTTGTGTGAAGTTAAAAATCCTCAGTACAATGACCTGTACTCACAAAATGTGGACAAAATTTCTAACTCAAGGCAAATTTTGACTATAAGGATAAATATAACGCAATAGATAATCAAAATAGATTAATCAATTAATTCGGGTAGGCAAACGGTACAACGGATACTTCACAAACATTAAAAGAGTCGATTATTTTTAAGACTGAATCCAATGATAAGTCATTAATTGTTTCACTGGGCATATTTCAAAATATAAAACAACAAAACAAAAAGTCAGTATTTTGTTAAAACTAAACTTATTCCATCTGTGACTACAGGGTGCTCTGGCAGTCTGTTACAGCATTATTGCATTCTCAGGCCCGTAGCCGGGGGGGGGGGGGGGGG